TAATCTTATATGAAGTTCAGTTTTAAAAAAAATCACCTGTACATCCAACTGTCATTTGGATTAAACTGACTGTGTGCCAGAGTTCAGACTGCACATATGGATGCAAAGGTTTCCCTCATTTGACTATACTGATCCAAGGAGAGATGGAAAACTTTAGAACAGTATATATACTGCTGCATGTACATATGCACCGGTTTTGATTCTTAGAGGGGAGAACAGCATAGTGGAGCAAAGAATCATAAAGGTACTGTTGGTAGTTACCCTGGATTTTTGAGAGCAATTCTACAAGAAATAATCAACACATGTGGTACACCAATCCTGCACTGATAGAACCCCCGACATAGTGTAGAAAGTGACATATTTTAATTGTACAACCCAGCTTCCCAAATATGTAATGACTTTACATTTGTTAGTGGAATGGATTGGTCAGATCATTAGGGTTCCTCTCTCAAATGTTCCCCATTTTGGACTTTTACAACCTCTCCTACTACATACCGAGTATTGAATTGAGCTAAGAAAAAATGAAGTAGGTGACTATTGTTTTCAAGGAAAGGATAGTTGCATGATGTCACTGTCCCATTTATATTATGTGAAAAACAGTCACCTCAGAGTACAGCTTTAAATTAAGAAGATTGCTCTCATAGACTCAGGTGTATAGGTTCCCCTCTCCCCCAGTCCTCGGCAACTGTGATCCTAAGCAATCAATTTCCTTTCTCTATCTTAATTTGCCCTTATACATCATATTCAAGATTTTATCTGGACAGAGGCTAGGTGGCTCAGTGGATAAACCTCTGCCTTTTCACCTCTGGGATCATGGTTCAAGTCAAATCCTGATGAAATGCGTTTGATCGTCCTAATCTAGTTCTTAGTGGACAGCATTCCCATTATCTTTAAAAGGGTCAGAGCCAAGGCCATTGGGAAGAGTGCATTGTGCTATATCTTGTCTGTTGATTAATACATTTTCAGTGATGCCAGTTCCTTAACTTCATGAGCATACACATTCACACAAAAAAAGCTTAATAAAGGTCCCTTGTGGATTAAACCTCTCTCGTCCCCACAAATCCTTTTAGGTTTCCCTGAGAATATTTTAAAAAATTAGCAATTGCTGATCCTTTTGAAAAGATTAACACTTGCACTAAGAACATCTCAAATTAATTAGCACAATAATTACTTTAAATCCTTGTTTGACATATGGAGAACACAATCTTTATAACCAGAACCATTTAATAACACATATTAGTTTTCTTCTCTTATGTATGTTAGTTAATCTAAAAAGACCTTCAAGGGCTTAAACCCTGAGAAAGATATCTTGTGTTGTACACAAGATAGAAAATAAGATAGCGAGGTGAAGTACTTATTACAGAAATTTATTCTCCATTCTCTGCAAACTGTTATTTGGGACCTGCTGGAAGAAGTTGGTATTTGACAGTGGGTATGAACAAAACAAAAGCAATACAGACATAGCTTTCATTTTGTCTTACCTCATCAAAAAAGTACAGTAAGAAAAAATGTATAAATACTTCCCTTTCATGGTGTTTGAAGGCCAAAGGTTATTGGGCTGTACCTTGACCTACAGAAAGGAGTCAGCAGAGTTGCTGCCGCAGATGGCTACATGAAATACGTGAAAGCATTTGAAAAGTGGCAGGGCAGAGATAATGTTACAGCACCTGTCAATCCTAGAATCAGATAGAGTCTTGTTTGGACCCAGACACAAATGCTGGGAAGAACAGTTCCTCATGAATCAATCAACTGGACTAAGGTCCTATCCCTACCAGCCCCTAGAACAGTCCTGCTGCATCTCTGATGCAGGAAGCAAACAGTGTAAAAGCAGCCAAGGATTCCCCCAAGCTGCAGCAGTCTTCAGCTGTCTGCCTAAAATAGTCTGAAATCTCCTTTGGGCACAGGTGACTTATCTCTAGGAAGGATTGAGTCCTAGGTCCCAAAAGAACAGAGTAGACAGAGGAAGAAGTACAGACAATCTTTTCATGAAGATGCAGTAAGAAAGGAGGACAAATGTTATACTCATATAGTTAGATTACAGCTTCTACAAGCAGTAGATGAGATAGCTCAACAATATCACCAAAAGCCTGCTCTGCTCTCATTGAAGTCAATTGCTAAACTATGCTCTAGCTGCAGTAGAAGCAGGATCAGTCTCAAAATTTAGGATAATGAGTTGATTGAAAACTCCTGCAGTACAGTATTGATCAAATTAAATGTTATACTCATATAGTTAGATTACAGCTTCTACAAGCAGTAGATGAGATAGCTCAACAATATCACCAAAAGCCTGCTCTGCTCTCATTGAAGTCAATTGCTAAACTATGCTCTAGCTGCAGTAGAAGCAGGATCAGTCTCAAAATTTAGGATAATGAGTTGATTGAAAACTCCTGCAGTACAGTATTGATCAAATTCATGAG